CGTATATATATATTATATATATATATATATATTATATACGTGCACATTTGTATATAATTCCATCTGTTATCGTGAAATTGAGTTTGAAAATTTCTGAACAAAAATTAGTGGTAGTTTAGGGTAATAAATTAGCTCCAACAGTATAAGCCTCGCGTCTTGTTGTATATACCTACCTCCACTTATAGGTCATACGCTTTCTGCGTACTACTACACGCATACACACACACGTACGCACACACACACGCACGCACGCACGCACGCGCGCGCGCGCGCGCGCGCACACACACACACACACACACAACACGCTTGTGCTCCCACACACTACAACCCTAGATATACATACGTAGCTATCAGTAGTAAGCTTGGCTGAACTTAAATGCAATGACCACTACATGCTACACGTTTATGTTATGTTACGTTATGTCTGCGCGCGTTTGGGTCGGTCCACGTGTGTTATGCATGTGTGCGTACGTGTGTGCGTGCGCGATTGTGCTCATGAATTTGTGTGTTCGCATTTGCGTACGAACGCCTGCGCAAACGCTCCGCTCCGCGCATACAATAGCCCCCACCCGCAATCGTTTCAAATCTGCTGACAATGACGATGACGACAATGATGCTATCTCTTCTATTTGTACCAGCATGTTATCGTAGTTGTCTCAACGTAGTAGTACCAAAGATCGTATAGTGCCGGAGGCCTCCGGCATTATACGATCTTTGGTAGTACTAGTTGCCAATTCTTTCAGGCACGTAGGAACTGGAAGGAGGAGGGGGCGCCTGCCCCCAAACAATTTCTAGAAATTTGTTAAAGTTTATAAATATACAGCCACTATCAATTGTCCAAAAATAACTAAGAAAACAGTTTTCAGCCACACAGACCGAATAGACATATTTATTCTTGGACATTATGTGTTGCTCATCACATACATTAGAGTATGTATAAAACAGTTTGTTACATAATGCACATATCATTCATGCACGGTTCATGCTTTTCTCCCAGCATGCATGTATAATCTAACATTTGCAATGCCAGAATGCACGAGAAGGCGTCATTTCAATATTGAAAATTCACAAATTTTATATTCCAGACCATCCCCCCATCTCGGCGCTACGCGCCTCACAGACTCACAAGCGCGCCTATAACCCATTGCCCCCCCACACAATGTCGTATATACCTTCTTACTGGCCTAAATTGTTTGCACAATTTTATACTGACAGCTAGGTTTACAAAAAGCTTTTTACACATTTTACTAATTATTTCCGTGCGCATTTTAATTGTTACTACCATACGTATCAGATTAAATGCTCGATCCTTATTCGCAAACCCTAACAACTGGCCTCTTCAATATACAATAAAGAGAAAAGGACCCACGACTGCTGAAAATACGATTATATATATATACTGTCGTTATTTACAGGGTTAGAGTTAGTGTTATGGCTAATGTTAGAGTTAGGTGGTTAGGGTTAGTGTTAGGGTTAGAGGGTTAGGGGGTTAGGGTTAGAGTTAGTGTTATGGTTAATGTTAGAGTTAGGTGGTTAGGGTTAGTGTTAGGGTTAGTGTTAGGGTTAGGGAATTAGGGTTAGGGGGTTAGGGTTAGGGTTACTGTTAGATTCAGGGGTTAGAGTTAGAGCTATAGGCCCCCTCAGACGATTTGTTTACAGACTGTATCAACAGCCATATATGTCTAATTCTGCTGGCATCCATTTATCCTTACCCAAACCTGTTATATATCTCGTACGTGTTCTTGAAGCATTAGAATAAAGATATATATATCTTGGTTTTGCCAACGGCTAATTGCTATGCAATTATTCTGGCGTACACAGATGTAATCCCCGAATGCAATTCCCCAAATGCAATTAAGCTATATTGCAACAGCAGATCACAACTAATCATTACTTTCATAGTGTTGGCAGTACCGTTGTTGTGGTAACAAACAACATTGATGCTTCGCATCAATTCTCATCATCACTTCCCGTGTGATTTCTTCTACTGGTCATATAAGGTGCGTTCACACTGGCGCGAATTAGCGGGCTGC